AACATGAATGTAATACAATTTAACAAATGTAGTATAACATGTAGAGTATATCAGAGGAACACTTATAAGAATCAAGTTCATATAATGCATTTACATGAGAGAAAGAAAAAAAAGACGAGGAGACCTAATTAAAGCTTAGCTTGTAGAGGTCAGGTCCCTCAAAAACAATAACATATAGACAACAACCACAAGAACAGCCTGGTTATATATAGATTAATACAAGAAATGTTCGTCAAAGGCGCCAAAGTACTAAAAACAAATAACTATAAACTATAACCATATGATTATAAATATGGTTTAACTGAGTAATAACAAAAAGGGTGGGGAGAATAGTATACAAAAGGGGGCGATGACATGTTGGTAGGGAAACTTTAAATGGAAGAGACACGTCTAATAAGAATCCGCACTCATCAAAGTTGTAATTTCGTGCCTCATTTCAAATGAGGAAATCGAAGGCTTCACTAAATATCTTGAAATATTCTGGATTGCAATAATATCAATATCGTCTATATCAACTCGGTAGAAATAAAAGGTGAAAAAAGTAAGGGGAGGTCTGACGAGAAGGGGTCATAATCATTTTCCACGGAGCCTCCCCCCCCCCCTGTTTTTTTCTCTAGCTTTGTATTGTTAGGGTATTTTCTTTTGACTGTTCTATTGGAAGGTTTCATGTAAGATTGCGATAAATCCAAATCGTGACAGTCCAACACAAAGATGTCTCGTTCAAAGATCTTTTACATCTCTGTCGAAGAGAATTTGGGTTTACAGCTAGATGACGAATGGAGGCATTGCAATCAAGGAGTTGTCTTTTTTACACCTGTGTTTTTTAAGAAGGTAGAATGTTCTATACTTAATGGTCGCCCATTAAGGTCTATAACACTCAAAAAGTAAATACACGAATAACACGATCGCAAAGTCTTTCGAAAAGTCAACCAAATGCGATTTCAGTAGCCTTTTCCATGCATCCATCAAATACCGAAATGACGTATTACGTGACATGATTTCTATAGGGAATCAAATATGATATGAAAAAATCTCATAAGATCGAATTCAATGTATGCATCCCTCAGTATTTGTTTAGTTATAGTCTCTAAACAGAAATGAAATACCGCGTGGTCGATCGGGTACATATTTTGTTTTACCGTAGGGCCTTTAACAAATCCTTTCGTCTTTCAGAAGGAACCATGCATAATTAAGAATCGCTTTATTCTAACTGAAATATAAATTGCATGTTATTGATATGACTAATCTGTAGTTTTTTAGTCATTGTACCAATAGACGATGACATATGTCTCAAATCACATTTTAATTTGTGACCACAAGACCACCCCCATTAAGACTAAGGTCAATCTAAGTGCAGCTAATAATGGATAAGTGTAGCTAATAATGGATTTCAATTGAATCCTTTTGGAAGCCTGTTGTTGGGAGATTCACACCATTGCCTTTGACCCCATTTCCAAAGAAGAATCACAATGGAGTGCAAGTATGATTACGTTTTTTTTTTTTTTAAATCATAATTAGGAGCCTGTTAAGGAGCTTCGCATCATTTTGTTTGAAAGGAGTGATTCTGCGTCATTAATTAAGAAGTAAAGGTCTGTAATTGATTTTTTTTTCGCAGGGCAGGTACTATATACAGTTGATAACAGGAAGTCATTTAAGGTATTATATATAGGAGTCAGAAATGCGATGTTTGTTGGATAATGAAATACACGATCGTCGATTGAAAAGTATATACTGTATTCAATTGAAGTTTTCTTCGATTGCTTACAGTGTATTATCGTAGTAGTTCTTTACTTTTCTCATACTTTATTTTCATGTGAAACATGCACTCGGTTTTTAGTTCACTGAACTGATTTTGTTCCAACATTTCATGTTCAGAATGTCAAGGTGATCTGGCTGTGCCTACACACCATCTCTTTATTTTTTGTCACTTTTGTATTCATCCTATTGCATTTCTTGTTTAATCCCATTTTAATGCAGGTATATTGCAGAAACTCCAACTGTCGTACAGATTCACACGCTCTCCGCTGTCATCAGCCACTTCAAATTCTTGAGGATTCTGATCAAAAGGGAATGGGCTACTCGACGGTTGAACAAGATGCTATAGCTTCTACAAAATCTTTTTTATGATTGGCTCCATGGTGACTTTCTTTCCTTGTTTCATAGAGGCATTATGGCAGTGGCCATCTGTATCTAAAACTACTGGATCGTTTTACCTTGTAGTCTGAGAGACCCAGGTGACACAAACGATTATGTTAAACTTTAAGAAGATCTTTTTCACGGCCAAGTTGCGGACCAAGCCCCGTTACCAGTGGTTGATCGCGGTCTGTACCACGGTCCACATCCTGATATTAAACCACTGCAGCGCCCTCTCAGGTGATCACCTAAACCTTCTTGAGAAGCACCAAACCCTAGGCATCAACGCCGATCTCATACAAGCCAATGTCACGTCCGAGCTCTTAACCTGTAAGGAGATCTCAATGATTCAACAAGGGGAGGTCATTGGTCGTGGCACCACGAAGGAGGTGTTTGGTGGAAGCTACATGGGTAAGGAGGTGGCCATCAAGATGGTCACATCCAAGGTGAAAGATGTAAAGATGTGCCTCAACAGAAGGGACTATCGGATTAAGGAGGATTGTTATGAGTATGCTAACTACAAACTAATGAAGGAGATAGCCTACGGATTGCAGCTCAACAGTGATAGACTGGTCAAGGTAATAGTATTATGATTCTCTGTATTCAAATACTTCATGAGGCCTACTATAATGGACGTGTCCTGTGGCCCAAGATTGGAAAAGAATATCAGTTTAGACAGTTATGTCAATTTACAGTGTACCTAAGTAAATATATAAAGATTTGAATCATTATTTTTCAAAATCTTCTGTTTGATTATGTTGGAGAGACATTTTTTGATTGGGTCACTGAACCTGTCATAAACTGACAGATCACTATTATCGATGATTCACTGAATACCGTAATAGCGCGGTGGCTAATTGGTAGAGCAGTGGTTTCAGGTGATCCCGTGTTCGAGGTCTCAAAGTCATCGGTCCCCTGGTTGCTTACTGAAAAGCATAGAAATACTTTCTTAGCATTCAAGTAAAAACAAACAATCAGACCAAACTCAAACCAGCTTCATCCGTATTAGAAAAAATCAGCTCAATTTGCCGTCAATATACGACATTGGTCTTTTATTCATTCATTTAATAATAATAATATTTAATTTTTAATCCAATAAATGAAAAATGTAATGTCGTTTGTGACACCAAAAAGAACGGTAAAATCAATGATCATATCAACATTTATTGTTAGTCTTATATAGATGTGTCATGATGTGGAACGAACACATTAGTAATGGCACCACCCCCCCCCCCCCACCCCCTCCCTCTTTCCATGCTCCGGATTTCTATGAAGATGCTACAAAAATAATGCGCGAAAACCAAAATATAACTTTTATAGTCGGTTGATGGAAAAGTAAAATAGGACCATGCAAAAAAAACCTTCAAAATTCGAACTCTGATACCCCAATCCCACCACGTACGGAACTGACTCCAAACCGATTCGTAGCCTTTCCGAGTAACGTATTTTTCCGGTCTTTTGTTGGACTCTTCAAAGTGAATGGGACGTGTGTGTGTGTGTGAAGGTGTTTGGGGATCTAGGGCCGTGAGATATTTTCATGTAATTGATTTCAGTGTACAATAATTTTGCTGGTGAATGTACATGTATATGCATTGGTGTTTGAACAGAACGGGAGTGTGATGTTTGAGAATAATAATTTCGCCTCTAGCAAACAAAGATGAAAAAGCAACTTTAAGTAAGGAATGCACCTGCGTAAACATTTAGTTCTGAATAGCAAATTTAAGAACGGAGTCGTCTGTATATTACAAGAGAGGTGGATGGAGGAAAATGGAGAAGAAGGTGCCAGAGAAAGATTGCAAACATTATGTAGACTCGCAAACAACTGTGAAGCCCGAGAAATACATGCAGTACTTTACCTAATATTATCTATATTAAAAAAAAAACACAAACAAACGACCAAATAAAAACAAGAGAGAGAGAGAGAGAGGGGGGGGGGGGAGTGGGAGTCAATTGGTTTCAATGAATTTCCTTGGTTAAATCTTAAGCACCCAATGGTCCAGCCTCTTTAAATCCCATACGTAATAACAAGCGAGTTCGTAATTAAGATTTGCGCATGGGCAGATAAAGGTCATTCGTACCCAAATTGTAAAACCATTGAGACGAATACTCGGATCGTGCTCATGAAAGTTATGTAATCAGTATTCATTTATGCACCAGCAGTACATTTATCTGATACACAGGTGGAAGTATTCTTCTCAAGAGGCAAACAAAAGGTATTCACGAAGCACCTCCATCCATTTGGCAGTGATTATTCTAAAATGCACATGTGGGACGTATCCATCGTGTAAAAGATCTGTGGATAATCTGGGGTCATGCGTTCCAGAGCTATTTACGAACTCGCTTATTAGTTATTGAGGTTGAAATTCGAGACCTTCCAAAAATCGAGACAACCAAGAAACGTAGAAAAAAATTATTTACATCTTATGATGCTTATAATTACACATGCAAGACCGCCAAATGAGGGAGTGGGTTTGTTGCCTCCCTCTCTATACCTCTCTCCCTCTCTCACTCTCTCTCTCTCTCTCTGTCTCTCTCTGTGTCTCTCTTCCGCTCTTTCTATTTTCTGTCCACCTTCCCTTTTTTTCTCTCTCTCTTTCTGACCATTTTTTTTTCTTTCTCTCTCTCTCTCTCTCTCTCTCTCTCTCTTCTCTATATCTCTCTCTATTTTGCCATTCGATTGGATCCCGTAGTTACAGTGCTATATACAATGGGAAAATTCGAGACAAAAGACGTTACCACATAATCAGTTTTATTTCGTTCTTTCTTTTCTAGCTGCTAGGGTACTGTGTTCGAGGAGATACTGTATCAGGATCCGTGCGCGATCAGGGAGTCATCGCCGTAGTCGAAGTCGGGAAGAAACTCAGCAAATACAGGCTCACGCAAATCATGTGGCCACAAAGATTACAGGTAATAATAGGGAAGATGAATTATTATAACCTATCATATCGTCTTGATTTCACTATAATAGTGAAATCAAGACAATATGATAGGTTACAGAAATGATTGTAATATATAAAGAAGGTAAAGGAAAAGTCTTATACGTCCACATCTTCGGGGAGAGTCTTTATATTACATCTCTTTCATTTTTCTTTAAAGGTTGCCAAGGACCTAGCCGATTTGCTCGTGGTATTAGAACATTCTCCCGTAGGTTCAGTCAATATCGGCGACTTCAAGCTGAATCAGTTCATCCTCATCGATGGAAGGTTAAAGGTCGGTGACCTCGATGACATGTCCACCCAAGAGCAATCGTGCTTGAGATCACGTGACTGCAGTATACTCGGCGAAGACGCAGGTAACAAGAACGGATAAATCGTTTAGATATGGCGCAGTAAACACTACCGCGGTAAACTACAGCATTTCCCTCTTTATTTCAAGTTTATCCCTTCATAAAATTATGTCTTCATCTCGTAACACAGAGCCCACCGAATACTCGAAAGACAATTTGTTGCGCGCAGTTACAATTTGTTCAAACATTTTTTTTTTAAAGTTGGGGTTTACCGCTTCATATCTGAACGAGCCGGTAAAGTTATTAGCAACGCCTCAGTCATACCAAAGACGTGACAACCAACGACAACCGGAAAAAAAATATTGACACAGACTGCAGACTAAAACCCCAAAATTTGACACATTTCACTTGGCCACTGTGCGCGGTCACCAATTGATTTAAGAAATGACGCTGATCATTTGCATACAGTTTGCTGACTGGTTGGTAATTTATCAAGAAAATGATGGGCAACCGCTCGTTGGGAAGGTCGGCAAACGATCCCTGACTGGTTACACATGCGCCTCATATCCCTCTATGATGAGTTAGACAAATAGAACATCACGATGGTCGACGATCGGTCGTATACCGTATACGGTAACATTCATTTGAACCATTTCCAACTTGAAGTTAACTACTGTGTATCAAAAATGGAAGTGACCACCAAAAGATGATATTATTGACATAAAAGCCCGTTCAAAAATAACGCGGTAAACCGCTTTGGCTTTTTTATATTTATGATGACGTAATTGTCACGCTTCACATTTGCTCATAACGCAGAGGTCATTGAGGACGTGTATGACCTTTATTGCGCACAGTTGCCATCAATTAAACTTTATTAATTAAAACACACTCCATATCTGAATGAGCCTTAAATAGATGTCACTGAGTGAATAATTGGCTGATTACATTGCACTGCCTAAATTTTCCTGTTCTTTAACTACATTTTCCACTTTAATTTCTTCCCTTCATCCAGGCATCAGGTGCGTGAATTCGACGTGCATCGGTATCAACGCCAAGGCCAACCTTTTATTAGCCACCGTCGAGTTACTGGAGCCCCTTTTACAACACCCACCCGAAGAACTAGGTGGACGTATTGACGTGCTTCTTAGAAAATTAAAGAACTATGAAATGAATGCTCTTGATCTTCAACAGTCTTTAACCGATCTTACAGAGGCATATTTGCTACAAAAAAACAAAAACAAATTATTATCATGACATCGGTTTGGACTTTTATAGCCGGAGTTTATCCCTGTATTCCTACAATGTGTCATGAACATAATCGCTACTACTTCCGAAAAGATCAACCTAAGGAAATTTGTATAGCTTTGTGCGTCGCCCATTGAAATGTTCGAACATGACATTGAGGTATTAATGCGATCCGAATATGAATGCTATGGCATACACTATAAGGTTTTGAAAGTGACCTTGAATTGATTTTTCGAAAGTAGTTGCTATCGTGTTCATGACAGTTTTAGTGGTTTGAAATTAGACATTTTTTGGGAAGAAAAACAGGAAGTTTTTATGTTGTTGAGCCACATATCATAATGTCAAACTTATACATCTTCAGTGAAGTTGCAAGAAGGACCACGAAACCGGTTTGTCCGTCTCTTTAACTGTCCGTCTTGTGCGCCGTTGGTCTTGTGGGCTATTGGCCATACCTGCCAACAACTAAACCCCATTTTGCGGTGTTTCGTGTTTCAATGAGACTCCGTGGAAGCTCAAAAAAGGAGCTAGAGCCCTTAATTTTGACATCGCGGATTTTGCCACAAAAGAACCCTTCATCTTTTACCACGGCGTTCAAAATTTCGATGGAGAGCATTAAAAAGAACCCTTTTTTGTGGATTAATCCAGTGTAGATCTATAGATGAATATGGTGCTGATGAAGGAAATTGTAGAGATGTTCACACCATGATTATGTTTATTTTGTCCTTATATTCAGAGCATGCGTGATTAAGTCGCATTTGTTGTAAAAGTCGGCAGGGGTCGATATCACGAAAGTATTATTAAAAATAATGAAAAGAACCTTTATTCCCGCGGAATGAGTACGTGTATGTTGATGATGACGGAAATTGTAGACGTTTCACACCTTGATATATGTATTGCCTTTGAATCAGAGCATGTATGATTTTAATAATATTTGATGTGAAGATTGGCAGTGTTGATGTCATGAAAGCATTTACATTGCGAGTTGCCAAGTGCCACAAATCTTTTATATTTACCCCACACCCCTAAACAAATTGCCCATAAGGTCTTCCAATTTGTGTACATGTATTTAGAAGCAAAGAAAAATAAATATCCACATTTGCCGATAGATAGTTGCCTCCCCCCCCCCCCCTCCAAAAAGGGGGGTTTGCACCTAGGGGCGTGGCTAGAGAGGGTTGGGTGCGACACCCCCCCCCCCCCCCCCTGCCAGGATATTGTCGGTAAAATTGCGCTGTTGTCGGGAAAATGAGAAAAGGGGGAGGGGAAAATGAGAGGGAATGGGAAAGAAAAGAAAAAGGAAAAGAAAGGAAAGAGAAGAGAAGAAAGAGAGAAAAAACAAAAAGAGGAAGGAGAGGAAAGAAAGAAAAGGAGAAAAGGAAAAGAAACAAAAGAAACGTGGGATGAAAGAGAGGAGAGAGAGAGAGAGAGGGGGTAAGAGCCTGAGAGAACAGGGGTGCGTCTAAGAGGAATTTCAAGATTTGCCAGTTCTTTTCTCTGTTAATATCATTATCCACCCACTACATCATCCAACCTCTCCGCCACTCTCTTCACTCCCTCTCTTAGCCACTCACTAAAATCGAATGCTATTATCATTATTTCTTTGGGATGTATCCTCTTTATAACTGGGTATAAAAGGCTACCTTCAACCTTCTGGGAATAAATGTGTCTTAAAAGCTACAAAGAACATGGACTACATTTTAAGACATTGACATCAATGACATTTAGATTTTTGCATATCAATATATGCATTTTGATTTATTCCTAGCACATGATAAAAAAAATTGACATTAATACATCATACATGTATTTGTAATTCCCAAAGTTTCCCATGAAACCTACCTCATTCACCTGTTACAACTGTATTAGTGATCACAATCTTGTGAATGTGAGAATGGAAATTGCATAACTGTACTTGCTATGTAGGACAAACCTCTGGCATACATTACAGTCTGTCAATCCGAAATAATTGACAAAAGCTTGTATGAAATGCAACTAAAATGGAAAGATAGCCTCTTAAATCGTTCTTCACTGAAAATATTTGTTCTCAAAAATATTTGTTCTCAAAAATATCTGAATATCACTTTAATTCAGACAGTTTTAATAAGGTTTGACCAAAGCCACATTAATATATCTTGCAGTGAACTCCTGGGACAAGATAAGTGTAATGCGTGTCACATTGCTGTATCTTATAACATTAATATGAGTGACAACGTGTAGGGCCTTTGTTGTACACGGCTTTCTAGACCGCCAGCTTACAGCGTCATAATTTGAACAAGCCTTGGTACATGTCCATATAGTTCAACTGTATGCAAGTACATAAAGGTCGTTTCCACTATGCACTTGCATTCTAATCTAGACAAGGGTTTGTCTTGAGGATGGTTAGATAAAGTATCAAGCATGAGATACTTAGATCAATAACAGTACAGAATTACACTATTTCGCAACAGTTGGAATGAAAATTCTTGTCTTCACACGTAAAAGTATGCTTAAATTTTAATTTCGTCATCATGATAAATAAATTGTTCAGCCAAACCGAACTGAATGCTCTTCGATCTACAATAGGCCTTGCTTTGAACAATCCCATTTTTGATAGTGTTACAAGTAGTGGCACAAAAAGGCTTGTCCACGTGCAAAATGTATTATTAAGGAAAACCAAAAATTTGTGGCATTGGGGTAGAACCCTATCATGAAGACATGGAGCTGGCAAAATACTTCTATGGACTAGACTGTGAATAAATAAGGTCAAAGTATTGTGATATCTCAAATCCCAACTTTGTATTCACGGGTATTATCAACAATTAATGTATTTTGCATTCAGGACATGTCTTTCTGTGCCACAACATTTCGCTAAGTTAACTTAGTGGGTGTTTTTAGTGTGTTTTCTTTGTACCAAATGTATATTTGATTGAGTCACCAAATGCTTACGCAGGACTTCACAGCATGTAAGTCCTGTGTAAGCATATTGTGACTCAATGCATTTTAGTAACTTGCACCAAACTAACTTTAAAGAATCCACTTTTCACTTCAGCAGATAGACTAACATTCTAGCTCTTAGCTAATCATCATAACACAGTAATGGTTTCCATTCTCTGAAGTAAGTCCACTTTGGACAGATATTCTGTGCTTCCTGATGCTGTGTTTATCACCTCAAACTTGGGATCTGCTTCAAGAGCCTGGCAGAGAGAGAATTCAAAAAAGGAAGAAAGAAAAACAATATATTAAGCCTGCAGTTTGAAATAAAACTTTTTTCTGTGTGTGAATGTACATTGTACATTTAATGGTAATACAAAGTTTTGGGAATTTTTTTAAATAGGCTCAACAGTGATTCTTTAAAATGTTGATATTTTTGGATGACCCTGTGGATGTATTATAAGCACTAGAAAATTTAGTCCCTTAAACACTTCTGCTTTCAAGAAAAATTGAATATAAAAATTTACCGGTACTCCCGGTAAATTTGGATAAATTTCAAATAGCGCTTACGGCCATACAATGGTAAGTGCGACCATGAAAATCTCAGAATATGTAGTTGTGATATGTAATTGCCAAACGGGAATAGCCAATCGGTCGATCTTAGTCCACAACATTGTTTTATGGTTTAATCAATATTTTGACCTTGAGAGGGAGCTATACAACATGAAGAGTTCATTATTTACAATTTCATAACTTTCGACTCGATTTCAACCGCGACAACGATCACCGAATATTGTAGGATCACATATGCTTCCAATATGTTCATTTGAACCAAATTCATGACCCCATACCAAAACTTTGTATTACCTTTAAGTCTTGTATTTTAGCATTATATTAATTTATTAATTTTATTTCACTCGCAGTTTTTAAAAAAGGGAGAACTTAAAAATGACAAGATATATACAAGAAAATGATACAAAATATCATATACAGTTAAGTAGATGTTTTCTGGTGGAGGCAGCAGCCAAAAAAGAAAAAGGGCTCTTACATGAGGGTGATACTTAACAATAGGTTTAGCCCTATTGAATTTAACTAAGTAACTAAGATCAAGGTCCAAGTTGTCACATTATCTTTGTCAATGTTAACCCCTGTACTAATGAATTCTCTCATTCACATGTATGCTTTCATACAGGGTCTACCTGGTTCCTGTAGGCAATGTGTAAATACACAGAGCTTAGCATCTCATTTTTTTAGTGGATAGAGATTACCAGAGTTATTAACTTTTCAATGGTTTTGAGTTGAGAATCGAGTCATTATTCATCAATAGTAAATATTGACAACTTCTCAAAAGTTGAGGAATCTGTTTTAGCATGTTTCTTGATATACTGACTTTTTCAAGCAATTAGGTTAACATGTATATGTATAATTTGAATGCATGTGTAATTTTCTAATGAATATAATGTAGCACTGTGGTAATGAATAATAATGAAAAACAAGTTGAATGATGCAACAACCAGAACATCAGAAGACATATTTGAATCTCCCCTTTCACACCTCCTGGTGAGGTATCCCCTACATACCTAACCAATAAGGAAAATACCTCACCCTCTTGCCCACGACAACGATCAATGGATATCCAACATGAGCAGCATCCTTAACTCTCCTTCCTATCGTCATGTGACCCCTATCGTCCAATAGCAGGTCAGCTGCTAGGTGTGGTACATGAAGACACACATCTTGATATAGCCACTCTGCTAAGTGTATAGCTGACCTCTCCGCTCCCCCCTCCTGTGAAATAACAAAAGCATGACGTTTGTCCTTCATTATACACAATGCATTTTAGGGGGATTTTTGTGCAAATACATCTTGGATTCTTGCAGAAAAGAAGATTATTTTGTAAAACACAATTTGAAGTATCAACTTATGGGAGATCAGTCTGAAGTACAGTTGTCTGGATAGAACAGATGGGATTTGTACATTATGGAAAATAACTCAGTATCCAACAATGCAACTATACAAAAAATGCATTGTTCAACTACAGTAATTATTGAGAAATAAGAACTGATTTTTGAACTGCAATACAGATCACACTTTCTTTTTTGTAAGATTGAGATATCCATTACAAAATCCCACAAACCATGCATTTTTGTCTTGTTTTGTAAATAAAACATATTTTATTGCTGTGTGAAGTTGTGAATTGTGTTACAATGTAGTCAACTGACATGACATAATAAAATGAGTTAATAATATATAGTCCATATATAAACTAGTGCAACACACAGTGAAATCTCACTCTTTTCATGTGTGAATGGGCTTTGTCATCCCTATAGAATAGACCTACCTTTGGAGAGACTATGCAGACCTGATAAGGGGCTATGATCTGTGGCCATCGGATCTCTTTCTCTGATGATAAAACCTCTATAGCTGCTGCCAGGATCCTTGTTACTCCCAGCCCATAGCAGCCCATCTCAGCTAATCTGTAAGAATTGAAAATGATGATGATGATAATATTAACAGTTTGATTTGTAAAGTGTTTTTTTTCTTCTGAGGATACAAAGAACTGAACATTAGTCATTACAAAGAACAGAATGTGGACAAAACAAATACGGGACTTCACAAAGTACGTAATTTCTTCTGATATGTACGACCAAAGACTTTGAACACAAAGGGAAAGCACTCTGTGAGAAGATCTCTCTTCACTTACTGAGGCTTGCCATCTTTATCAAAGAAGTCAGCTTTGAAGGTCTTGGAATACTTTGTGCCAAGTAAAAAGGCGTGGCCCACCTCAATGCCTTGCCTCAACGACATGGTGCAGTCGGGCGTCGACAGGTGATCTCGGCACGAAGGCACACCCTCTGCGGAAAAATAAATTGAAGTGCTGATTGTGAGCAGAATGCCTTGGATTGGATAAAGCAGGGTTAAGTAAAAGTTGTTCTCTGGTATTTAATGTATCCTCTATTTCCAACAAACGGGTACACCCATGTTCATACAATATTTATGTAAAACATTGTGCATACACGTACGCACTTTACTCCTCTGCTTAATGGATTTTGCTCCTTCCTTTCCCCAAATCTTGATAGTGGAATATGCCTAGAGAGTTTTATATCAACCAACACCTCTAACAAATTTTAAAATATTTCAAACTAATTATTTTTAGGTTTAATCAAGTGTATGACATTGTTTCATTGTGTACAATCCTTGGGGAGAGTGTTCATCCGCCGATTTCTAATGCTGTGCAGTAATTAACCAATGACTGAAATTCAATAAATTTGTTGCCAAATGACGGGTTATTCTTCTCACTATAAATTCAGGAAAGCTTAAAGCAGTAGAAGTATTGAGATGTGAGTTGGTCTAGCGGTAATGTCCATGATACGGTCAGCTCTCTGTCTTCGCCTACAAACTGACTTAGCAGACCCCAGTTTGAGACGTCTTTTTGATGGCGACTTGAATAATCATATCTGTTTGATACAGGTCTGTGAAAACTTAAGTTAAACACACACGCAGAGGAAAATAATGAATCCTTATCGGGGTAAACTTACAGGAAAAGGACCCCCACTCCCATCAGGGTAAGAAATTGGATAACAATTGACAAGGCCATAGAGAGTCTTCTAGACTTGAGCATTCTCACCTACTGTTTCTTGGTTGACTGCATACCCACATCTGGAGCAATGGTAGACATGATCCTCTCCTATCTCAGATAACAGGTGGAATTCATGAGAAGACGATCCTCCAATAGCTCCTGTGGCTCCAACAGCTAAAAATGTATACCATTAACCAAAGAAAAGAAAAAATGATTATACACTGACCAGTTCGTTACACACCACATAATCAAACTTTCAATGCATTTCATTTGATTTCCAGGTTCATGTTTAAACAAAATAGAAATGACAACACAGAGCATATAACATGAAAGAGTTACATAAAAAGCCACCCGCGGATGCCTGAATATTACCTAAAATAAAGTGAAAGAAGATTGGATATGGAATTCCTGAAATATTAAAGTTGATACTCTAAGACAATCCCAAATACTGAGATAATTACATAAATAGAGAGCTTTTAACCCCCATAATAACACCAAATGGTGTCCACCCGACAAAACAAGTTTAGAATAATGAATTTATTCGAGTAAACTCTACCAAAATATCTAAGTCTGAAACCCGGAAGTGCACGTAGAGTCGGGCCTCTATCCGTGACGTCACGAACGGGAGTCATGAGCTCAGTGAGAGTGAATGGCAGTGATATCCCTACGTAAATGCTATCCTGTCAGAGCTTAGATTTGTTGTTGTTAAGGAGTATATTTGATAGATTTTCTGTTTTCATTTGAATGAAGAATAACGAAGCAACATTTTCCAGTCGCTGATTTCTTTTTATATCCTCATATTCACCTATTTGGTAGAGATTTAAGACGAGTTTACTGCTTAGTAATTAAAGTTAAATCGTGCACTTATGAATAGGCGGATGCATTATATTGTCATCAGATGAACATGAGCAGTTTTGTAAAAAGAATAGGTCTAGAACTATGATAGTACTTATCATAGATGTGTGTGACTGCCTCAAAAAAGGATACAGTACCAGTTAAACATTTTATGTTGTATCAAACTTGAACGAGATCATGCAAGCGCGCTTCCTCTATAATATTTTGGCGAGTGATGCGGCTCTTGCATGAACGTTCGTGGAGCGAGCAGAATCGGGAGGTAAGACCAAGCCGCTGCTCCAGGCGCTGCTTGCTTGTGATGGAACGTACGTGCGCTAGTTATATGTTTATCGGCAATTGCAAGAGAATGAAAGCGACGTTGCCAGCTAAGAAAAACAACTAACAAAGACTTGCTCCTGACTACCGGTGTCAGAATTGGTAGATGAAGGATGTTCAGGGCCAAGGAAGGCGAAAGACATGGGAAAAAGGAAGAAGAAACCATCGGGAGATCGCTGTAGTGTTATGGTAATGAACTGTGCATGGGTAGACAGCTACTGTTCACTCCGTGCCTGGGCCGATTTCAACACCAAAACAAAAATTACATGGTGAAAATATTGACTAATAGCACATCGTTGGCATGTATATGTCATAATTTTTAAAAGGGGAATTGATATTAATACTATGAAGTACTAGGGGAAGGTAAAGAATTGTACATAGAATTATGATTTATTAGACTTTTCAGCCTTTGAAAAAAAAACATGCAGAAAATCGTATCACTCTGCACATGTTTGCTATGGAACATCCGGGTACGTGAATATACTCTCTCCCGGACGTGAGGTCATAAATAGTAGACCAGCGTCGTGACTGATTTTCTATGCAAAGAGAGGCGGATATTTTAGACATTTCAATTGAGGATTTCGAGTAGACAGAATTTTTTTGTGATATACTAAGTAATTGAAAAACTTAAAAATAACATATACTTGCCGTAGGTAACAAATTAAGGGACATTTATTTGCTTAGAGTATCAACTTTAATTCTTCCTGATCGGGGTCCCAAAATGTCCTATGAATAATATGGAAGACAGTGGCTTTAGAAAGGCAAAAATTTCCTGTTTGCCTACAACAAAAATGTAAAGGCCTCTGCAACTTGCTTTCTCAGTAGTCCTATGAAACTGTTAACCACTATTATTTAGTACTTATTTGTATCCCAACATTTACGGGATCTGTTTTCAAACTGAAGTTCAGTTGTACCTTGTACAATGGGAAGATCCAGTATGCTGAAGATTCTTTGATATGCTTCACAAACAGACCTATATGTCTCTTCAGCTCCCTCCAGGTTAGAATCAAATGTGTACAAATCTGGAATAATGAGAAGAGAGAAGAAAAATAATTGATGCTATGAGACTCATTGAATTTTATGAATATTGTGACCATGATTAAATGTACATATAGTTGCTTACGATAATCGAGATTTAATATTTGAGTAGCTTACCGAAATAAACTTATGGCCAACATTATCTTTTTTTAGATATATTATGTGAAAGATAATATGTTTCTGGAAACATCACTTTCATGAGTAATTCAAAGATGATGAACAAATGTTCAAAACGTGAAGGCCAGTTAGTAACTACAATTTGCCACGGTGAAGATCATTTGGACCAAGTGCAAATGACCTGTAAACGTCGTCTTAGTGTACACACTTTGAGTTGTTTAAACACTGAGCTAGCATGTCTGTCCAAACAGACATGCAAATGTGCACAAATTGGGGTCTTTTGTACCATCTACCATCTACTAATTGCAAAACTGTATTATCGATGTAGACAGTTATATATGTATCATGGCTACCTGTATGAATGGCACATGAGCATTGTTCAGGAATGTTAACTGGAGTTTCACGTCTTACCTTTCATGAGGAATTCCCTTCCACGAAGTAATCCATATCTCGGTCTCATTTCATCTCGAAATTTATTTGTGATCTTGAAAATGGAAGTTGATACAAGAAAAGGCAAAAATTTAACATAACTTGTCGTAAGGAGACATGATATAGGTCATGTGCGTAAATAGTTTCAAGACATCCTGAATATTGTCACTATGCATAGCTCAAGTACCATCACTGAAGTACTAATGCTGGTAGAACTTAGTAGGTCAATCCCAAAAATTAAATTTTCCATTTCTTTGAAAATGATCAGAAATGTGACAAGGAGTATAAACCAGAACGTCAATGACGTAGCGCTCATCCGCATCTCGCAACAACAAAAATCGTAAATTTTATGTGGTACACTTTTGAACTGGTCAAAAAATAAAAATTTGATGCCCTGGAAGGGACATAATTTCATTTAGCTGTACAAAATTAAATAGAAACTAAAGGAAATGTAAATAAAAACTAAAGGAAATAATTTTTTTGTTATTTTTGGAATAAATTTGCATAAATTACCATAATTAATTAAAGGAGTACAATTTCAAAATTCAGTGTAGAAGTTTAGTGTACCAAAGTTAGCTCTACAATAGAAAGCAAACCAAATCAAAATCGGTCGAAATATGAAGGAGAAGAAGCATTTTTTGTGATTTTTTAATTATTTTTGGAATAAATTTGCATAAATTACCATAATTAATCGATGGAGCAAAATCTCAAATTTCTGTGTAGAAATTTAGTGTTCCAAATTTAGCTCTACCAGATAAGGCAAACCAAATCAAAACCGGTCGAAATATGAAGGAGAAGAAGCATTTTTTGTGATTTTTAAATTATTTTTGGAATAAATTTGCATAGATAATGAATTTCACGATTCTGCGTAGATGTTTTAAATCCCCCTCCTAGCCCTATCATATGAAACAATCAGAATCAAAATTGGTTGAAAAATAACGAAGAAGAAGCATTTTGAAAACTGTGGACGGACGGACGGAAGGACGGACGGAAGGACGGACGGAAGGACGCCACGGCATGGCATAAGCTCATCAGGCCCTGCAGGCCGGATGAGCTAAAAAATGTATTTACACTTTTCATCGATTCTGCTGAGCCACAGGAACATAAAGGAATTTATATGAGAACTACATGTAGATGGAATTCGACTGCGCGCAGTCGAAAATGATGCCTCCTTCATAGAGCAATTTTACAAACCGAAACGGAAGAAATTTTTCAAATTGAAGTTCAATTGTAATCCATTAACATGTTCTCAAAATATCGTGATTACAAGCAATTTCTCATATACATATATGACCCTTTGATCTTTGACCTCATGACCCTAAAATCTACTCAGTTCATTGGCTCTGCAAGATGTCCTGAGTTAAATAGTAATCCATCTGTCAGTTCTAATGAGAATGCTTTCACAAGCTATTTTTGCATACATAATGAGCCCCATGACCTTTGATCTTATGAACCAAGAATCTACTCAGTTCATTGGCTCTGCAAGATTCATAAATGATCTAAGTTTGGCAGGAATCCATTAATCGGTTCTTCAGATATCGCGATCACAAGCTGTTTTTGCATACATAATGAGCCCTGTGACCTTTGACCTTTGACCTCGTGACCCCAAAATCTAATCAGTTCATCGGCTCTGCAAGATACATACATGACCAAAGTTTGGCAGGAATCCATTAATCGGTTCTTCAGATATCGCGATCACAAGCTGTTTTTGCATACATAATGAGCCCTGTGACCTTTGACCTCGTGACCCCAAAATCTAATCAGTTCATCGACTCTGCAAGATACATACATGACCAAAGTTTGGCAGGAATCTATTTATCGGTTCTTCAGATAACGCGATCACGAGAACGGGACGTACGTACGTACAGACGTACGTACGGACGGACAACCCGAAAACATAATTCCTCCGGCTACTTCGTAACGGAGGCATAAAAATAACGGGGGAAAATGCATGTTTTTACCTGCTAGGTCCTCAAAGAGAAAGAATTCAATATCGAATCATAATTCAATTTCTTTTAACCCATAAACTACTCAATTCTCTCAACCGCCTGCCTGTAAACAGGAATCTCCTGGTTCCAAAAGACAGTGGGTTTGAATGTAGTAATAGTCAAATTGCAAGGTGTGAAGTGGATTTCACTGAGGACATACCTGATACAGTTTTATGGGCAGACGTTTGTGGGAGAGCGTCTTTTCTCCAGCAACTATATCTGTTACAGCTTCTTCATGGGTCTGCACAAAAAACAATAAAAAACAAAAATGTTTACGGTTAATAATGTCAGTAATGCCTCATTTATTTAGACTGCAAACAGGTGCTCTTGGCACTTACAGAAATGACTGATATCTCACATATATTGGAAACTCTATTCAAAGTGTTCCTGCTTTCTTTCTCTCTCTCTCTCTCTCTCTTTTCTGTCTCTTCTGTGAGGATTAATTATTCCATTACAATTAAATACTGTATACAGTACATAGCTTCAATATAACATTGCATGTTTGCTGCTATAAACGCCATTGGCAGAGATTGCTGGAGAGGGGGAGGGAAGAGGAAAGCTTACATGCTGGTTACTTACTAACAAGCATTTATGCTTTCTTAGCAGTCAGGTTAAATAACCACCACTCAACTATAACTAAAACATGTACTAGCATTCCTAACTGAATTCACTTAACATTACCTGAATCTGAATTGTAAGCATTACAATGAATCTTTAAATATCTATTTCAAACCTATACTGAATAACAAATTAAATATTAATCATAATGTACTCACTGGACCCAAGCAGTAGTCAACATTATGGCGATCTTGAAGAGTTATCAGCTCTGGACCATAATCTGAATATCTGACTAGCAGAAAAACAAAACAAAGACATTTAAGAAATGTCAATTAGTTAGAATAAAACTTATTTCATATCTAGATGAACATATAACGTCCCTTTGAATCTAGATCAGGTTTTTTGACATCTTTTTGGCACATCTTCCGTATCTGTGCAGCTAATATAAAAAATATATATTATATTATCATTCTTTCTGCCTTACAAGTTACATTGGAAAAGCTCATGAGAGAATCATATATCATATCTTATAATAAGTGATAAGTATCATATTACCCCAGATCGTAACAGGAAAGTACAAGTTATGATATGACTTTAAGAATATCAAATAGGATGAAGATATTCTACTTTAATTCTAGAAAAACTCACTGACCTTCCAGAGGTCTTCCAGAGGGAGGAGGGTGTCATTCCTGGCATGGCAATCTTCTGACCTCCAACCTTTTGCATCTCTGTGTCAATGACCTTTATGAGCTTCTCAAGTGCCCTCATAGCCAAAGGTAAGAGGTGAAAAGTCCCAGGGCTTGCCTGCCTGATTAGACCAGCCTCCATCATCAACTGTTAAGCATTAGTAAACAAACAAAATAATGATTTTTTAAAAATACTGTAATTTCCAAGAAGCATAAGCTACATGCAAAAGGAACATATAATTTGTTGGAATGATTTTTCACAAATCATTAAAAACAAAATCCAAAGGGGTTTGATATAGATCAAGTGCCTTTTTTGGTATTTCCTTTCAGTTACAAAGTGTTACTTTAAACAATTCAAACATTTAATAAGATCAAATCATGGCACTCCTTGCAGCTACTTGCCTCCCAGTAAAGCTTCCTGAGTGAGCTGCTAAAGGGATTCTATCAAGAATCAGAATTTGTATAAAGTCTTACATCAATTTCCCATTAAAAATTTTCAAAGACCCACTTTATTATGTATGTTGTATGCGAAAATGTCTTACCCGGTGACTTTTGCATTTAACGTCTGCGACCTTTGACCCTTCCGGAAGAACAAAGGATGGTTGGTACATTTTTGAAACCCTCTGACAGAAAGCTGAAAGGCATCGCTTTCCTATCAAAACCATGGTGGAATGATACCTTTAAGATGGTCTGTGAAAAAAAGTAAGAAAAGAGGAGATGAAAATAGCCTTAAGGGCTCCCTCGAAATGTTTTTTATGATATCCGGCACCCATGATAAACGGCACCCATAGGGTCCCACGGAGAGGTAGGTAAACAACAACCAAAATGTGTCCAAAATCACACTTTCCCAATTATTACCAATTACCACTTACCAATATTGGACAGTGGCTTTGATAAATTTTGTTGTAATTGTAGTCCTAATTACCTCCTGAATTTAAAAATCGGAGGTAAAAATAATAAAATAAAAGCAATTTTCTTACCAGATACAGCTCAGCTCCCTTTTCACGTGTACCATGTGAATTCACGATCTCTACACAATGGTGATGACCTCTGACTGGCACTTCGTAAATGTGCTGCTTCCGTATAATGCGCTGAATAACACTCATAGCCACTGTCCAATATTGGTCGGGTGCGGGAAAGTGTGATTTTGGACACATTTTGGTTGTTGTTTACCTACCTCTCCGTGGGACCTATGGGTGCCGTTTAAGGCTTCCTCGAATAATATCATAAAAAACATTTCGAGGGAGCCCTTAAGGCTAAATGAAAACATCTGAATTCTGATTCTGAATCTGAAAAAAAGATTATTTAATTAGGCACATTCATGGGGCACTAGAGGGCGCTTCGCTCGCGTACGACAATCTGAATGGCCTTGCTGCGGTGGGTCGGCAATAATCAGCCCAAAACTTGGATATGGGAGGTTGGAAGGATATATCTTTTTTATAATGTTATCCGGTCTTACCCTTAACCATCCTATGTTTAATCTATGTAGAAATAACATGCGAGTGTGATAAGAGAAACACCGGGCCCATTACTGAAGTAACTTTTTAAATATTAGCCTAGAAATGACCACCAAACGGAAAAAATTGACATTTTTTCCCGACAAATCTTCATAAAATCTGAGTTATAAACAAGTCACATCTAGGTACACTGATACAAATACGATTTTCTGAAAATTCAGGTATGATTTATTAAGTTTCTTTCAAGTATATTTCTGCGCATTGCAGCGCCAATATTCTACACTACATTTTTTTTTTGCAACGAATTTGATACGAGGTCCGCGAGTGTTCCCCGTTCCTTGCGTGTTGAAAGTTTGGTAAAACATAGTTTGCATTGACTCGCGCACGAAAAAATGGTCGAAAACAAAATGTCAAATGAAGAAATAAACAAGCTTTTGTATAGTTATAACTTATAAGACTTCTACCGAGGTTTCTTTGTCGATTCAATTGATTATATAGTCTCAATTAGAATTCAGAATTATCTCACTGAAAAGTTAAGAAACCGACGATGTTCTCGATCTTAGTTATTTTCATTTTGCCAGCAGCCGATCTAGCGTTGTTTGGGCAAAAAGCTAGGCCGCTGCCTTCCCACGCGAACCCTTCCGTGTCCCGCTAAAATGGCGCTCTGCGGAGCTCCAAAGCTGCGTTGGTATCGCTGCAAACTCTCAGCCGGCTAGCTCCCCACGAAGGACCATTCGCGGTATGGCGAGAGTGTGTGTGTGAAGTATGATTTTGGATTCAAGAACGCACGTAATGCAACCGTGCGCGTCATTTTCAGCTGTCGAATGTATACGACCAATTTTACATGTACGATTTTTAGTACAGATACTCGGTCAGTTTTCTTCTTATATCTTTGGTTTTACAACATTTAAAAATATAATTTCTTCAAATTTGCTCCTGACTCGGTTCAGACTAATTGTCTGATGTGTTTTCAAGTCAATTTTTTTAATATATTTTTTTGCATGAATTTGCCTATCTAGGGTTAGGGTTAGGGTTAGGGTAATGATGACCACAAAATTTGGGGTCTGAAATTTGGGGTCTGTTTTAGTAGGCTATATTTTGGATACCTTGCTACACTAGCGCCGAGAGACTGAGCCTTTTGGTCTACCTCCAGGGGTGCCGCGCGTCAGCCTTGTCCCTCAATGTGACGTGACCGAGTAGCGTGTGACTAACAAACATAGATTTCAACGAGTGGGACATAGATCATAGCGTCTAAAAGATATTTGTTTTAAAAGGGTGTAAACTGTAAAGGTTAATCTATAGTTGCAGCCCAAATCCGTGCACAATGTTTCTATAACAAAGACACGGTCATTTAGTAATTACTGATAGTAAAACACTTCACAACTTACCAAAACATATGAAACAGGACCAAATTTTCCAGCGAAATAGAGTTATGGTATCCCAAAGACGTCTAATATAAAAGAAAAAAGGAAAATGATACTGCAGTAGATTTGAATGGGCCAAAACAATGGCCTAAGCTCAAAAGTTTTTGTTTACTCTCATGTATGTCGCATGTCGAATCTTTTTGTCTGGGTCTTAATTGTTACAAAATGCATTTTCATATTTGAGGTTTATAAAACTATCGTATCGTCTGCAGAAGATCACCCTTGTTCTAGATGTTGAACAGGCTTTGACAACTAGCAGAATAGAAATAGAATAGAAATGGTAATGATAATAACAAAATAATAATAATGACAACAACAACAAAAAACAACACTAACAATTAACAGATGCACGGATGATCGAGTATTCCCAGGCAAAGGAAAATGTTGACGTTGTTTTGTTTTTTCTTTGTTGTTCTTGTTTGTTTGTTTGTTTGTTTGTTGTTGTTTTTTGTTGTTGTTGGGGGGGGGGGGGGTTCTTAATTTTTCTACCTTCTGTCTCTCCTGAACTTTTTTTTTTTTGGGGGGGGGGGGGATTCTCGCTTTTTATCTCTCTCCTTAAACTTCCCGATGTCATTTTTTTTTTATATATCTGAGTGACGAAGATAAAGACACTGTTCATTATTTTACGTTTATAATCCCGTCCCTTTTCCAACTTTTAAAGAAGTCGTTTACTTTAAATGCCAGTTTTCATAACTTTTTGCATAAAGTAACCTATTGATGACAATAGATTTTTTTTCTTAAATCAAATGTGACTCGATGTACATGAGACGAAAGAGCGAATACGATAAAAAAATTCTTCAAAGTTGCTTTCACAATGGGTGTTTAGGGCTGGTGTTAGTGCACAACTGCCCATTATTGTATGTATTAAGGCAAATGGGAAATAGCGGCGACTGTATTAAAGCCCGAAACCCCCTTCACCGATATACTCTACATGTTATGCGCTATATATTAATGTTTGTTCTGCCACATTGGTTGATAGGCGCTCAAATAAGACCTTTTTAAAGTCGGCTGCTAGAATTTTTGCACCCCGTATTCGATGAGGTATATAATAATCTACATTTCATGTGAGTTTCAGCACATTTAAAGCAAATGGGAAATCAGCAACGAATGTATTAACCCCACTCCCTTTTATATACTCTGGACGTTATATGCGCCAAACGTTTAGGTTTGTTCTGGACATTGGTTGATATGCGCTCAAATAAGACCTTTTTAATGTCGGTTGCTAGAATTTTTACACCACGTATTCGATGAGGTATATAATAATCTACATTTCATGTGAGTTTCAGCACATTAAAAGCAAATGAGAAATCAGCAACGATTGTATTAACCCCACTCCCTTTTATATACTCTACATGTTATGCGCTATACGTTTAGGTTTGTTCTGCCACGTTGGTTGATATGCGCTCAAATAAGACCTTTTTAATGTCGGTTGCTAGAATTTTTACACCACTTATTCGATGAGGTATATAATAATTGACATTTCATGTGAGTTTAAGCACATTTAAAGCAAATGGGAAATAAGCAACAAAATGTATTAACCCCCACCCCCTTCTAAATACTCTGGACGTTATATGCACCAAAAGTTTAAGTTTGTTCTGGACATTGGTTGATATGCGCTCAAATAAAACCTTTTTAATGTCGGCTGCACGAATTTGTGCACCCCGTATTCGATGAGGAATATAATAATCTACATTTCATGTGAGTTTGAGCACATTTAAAGCAATTGGGAATTCAGCAACGAATGTATTAACCCCCACCCCCTTCTAAATACTCTGGACGTTATATGCACCAAAAGTTTAAGTTTGTTCTGGACATTGGTTGATATGCGCTAAAATAAAACCTTTTTAATGTCGGCTGCACGAATTTGTGCACCCCGTATTCGATGAGGAATATAATAATCTACATTTCATGTGAGTTTGAGCACATTAAAAGCAATTGGGAATTGAGCAACGAATGTATTAACCCCACCCCTTTCTATATACTCTGGACGTTATATGCGCCAAACGTTTAGGTTTGTTCTGGACATTGGTTGATATGCGCTCAAATAAGACCTTTTTATTGTCAGCTGCTAGAATTTGTGCACCCCGTATTGGGTGAGGTATATAATAATCTACATTTCATGTGATTTTCAGCAAAATTAAGACAAATGGGAAATAGCGGCGACTGTATTAAAGCCCGAAACCCCCTTCACCGATATACTCTACATGTTATGCGCTATACATTAATGTTTGTTCTGCCACATTGGTTGAGATGCGCTCAAATAAGACCTTTTTAAAGTCGGCTGCTAGAATTTTTGCACCCGGTATTTGATGAGGTTTAAAATAATCTACATTTCATGTGAGTTTCAGCACATTTAGAGCAAATGGGAAATTAGCAACAATTGTATTAATAATAATAATAATAATATTTAATTTATAATAATATTTAATTTATATAGCGCTTAATACAAATGTCTCTAAGCGCTTTACAAATATACTATTACCCCAACCCCCTTCTATATACTTTAAACATTATATGCGCCAAACGTTTAGGACCGTTCTGGACATTGGTTGATATGCGCTCAAATAAGACCTTTTTAATGTCGGTTGCTAGAATTTTTACACCACGTATTCGATGAGGTATATAATAATCTACATTTCATGTGATTTTCAGCAAATTTAAGGCAAATGGGAAATAGCGGCGTCTGTATTAAAGCCCGAAACCCCCTCACCGATATACTCTACATGTTATGCGCTATACGTTTAGGTTTGTTCTGCCACATTGGTTGATATGCGCTCAAATAAGACCTTTTTAATGTCGGTTGCTAGAATTTTTACACCACGTATTCGATGAGGTATATAATAATTGACATTTCATGTGAGTTTAAGCACATTTAAAGCAAATGGGAAATAAGCAACAAAATGTATTAACCCCCACCCCCTTCTAAATACTCTGGACGTTATATGCACCAAAAGTTTAAGTTTGTTCTGGACATTGGTTGATATGCGCTCAAATAAAACCTTTTTAATGTCGGCTGCACGAATTTGTGCACCCCGTATTCGATGAGGAATATAATAATCTACATTTCATGTGAGTTTGAGCACATTTAAAGCAATTGGGAATTCAGCAACGAATGTATTAACCCCCACCCCCTTCTAAATACTCTGGACGTTATATGCACCAAAAGTTTAAGTTTCTTCTGGACATTGGTTGATATGCGCTCAAATAAAACCTTTTTAATGTCGGCTGCTCAAATTTGTGCACCCCGTATTCGATGAGGAATATAATAATCTACATTTCATGTGAGTTTGAGCACATTTAAAGCAAATGGGAAATCAGCAACGAATGTATTAACCCCACTCCCTTTTATATACTCTGGACGTTATAATATGCGCCAAACGTTTAGGTTTGTTCTGGACATTGGTTGATATGCGCTCAAATAAGACCTTTTTAATGTCGGTTGCTAGAATTTTTACACCACGTATTCGATGAGGTATATAATAATCTACATTTCATGTGAGTTTCAGCACATTAAAAGCAAATGGGAAATCAGCAACGATTGTATTAACCCCACTCCCTTTTATATACTCTACATGTTAGGCGCTATACGTTTAGGTTTGTTCTGCCACGTTGGTTGATATGCGCTCAAATAAGACCTTTTTAATGTCGGTTGCTAGAATTTTTACACCACGTATTCGATGAGGTATATAATAATTGACATTTCATGTGAGTTTAAGCACATTTAAAGCAAATGGGAAATAAGCAACAAAATACCCCCCACCCCCTTCTAAATACTCTGGACGTTATATGCACCAAAAGTTTAAGTTTGTTCTGGACATTGGTTGATATGCGCTCAAATAAAACCTTTTTAATGTCGGCTGCACGAATTTGTGCACCCCGTATTCGATGAGGAATATAATAATCTACATTTCATGTGAGTTTGAGCACATTAAAAGCAAATGGGAAATCAGCAACGACTGTATTAACCCCCACCCCTTTCTATATACTCTGGACGTTATATGCACCAAAAGTTTAAGTTTGTTCTGGACATTGGTTGATATGCGCTCAAATAAAACCTTTTTAATGTCGGCTGCACGAATTTGTGCACCCCGTATTCGATAAGGAATATAATAATCTACATTTCATGTGAGTTTGAGCACATTTAAAACAATTGGGAATTCAGCAACGAATGTATTAACCCCCACCCCCTTCTAAATACTCTGGACGTTATATGCACCAAAAGTTTAAGTTTGTTCTGGACATTGGTTGATATGCGCTCAAATAAAACCTTTTTAATGTCGGCTGCACGAATTTGTGCACCCCGTATTCGATGAGGAATATAATAATCTACATTTCATGTGAGTTTGAGCACATTAAAAGCAAATGGGAAATCAGCAACGAATGTATTAACCCCCACCCCTTTCTATATACTCTGGACGTTATATGCACCAAAATTTTAAGTTTCTTCTGGACATTGGTTGATATGCGCTCAAATAAAACCTTTTTAATGTCGGCTGCCCAAATTTGTGCACCCCGTATTCGATGAGGAATATAATAATCTACATTTCATGTGAGTTTGAGCACATTTAAAGCAAATGGGAAATCAGCAACGAATGTATTAACCCCACTCCCTTTTATATACTCTGGACGTTATATGCGCCAAACGTTTAGGTTTGTTCTGGACATTGGTTGATATGCGCTCAAATAAGACCTTTTTAATGTCGGTTGCTAGAATTTTTACACCACGTATTCGATGAGGTATATAATAATTGACATTTCATGTGAGTTTAAGCACATTTAAAGCAAATGGGAAATAACCAACAAATGTATTAACCCCCACCCCCTTCTAAATACTCTGGACGTTATATGCACCAAAAGTTTAAGTTTGTTCTGGACATTGGTTGATATGCGCTCAAATAAAACCTTTTTAATGTCGGCTGCACGAATTTGTGCACCCCGTATTCGATAAGGAATATAATAATCTACATTTCATGTGAGTTTGAGCACATTTAAAACAATTGGGAATTCAGCAACGAATGTATTAACCCCCACCCCCTTCTAAATACT